CTCCCGGAAGCCTTCCTTGACTCTACCCTGTTGGGTTAGATGTTGCTTTTTTGGGCTCCCCTAGCACTATCCATGATCAGAAGATTTATAATGCTGTACTAAAATAATCCATCAGCCTCTTAAGTCCATAAGCTCCAGGAGCGTAGAGACTGTCTTATTCATGTTTGTACTCCCAGGGACTACCACAGTGCCTGGAACTGAGTAGGCATGGTCTCAAGTGTTTAATGAACTGAACTAATTCTTTGCCTAATAGTAATTCCTTATCATAATTATGATATAAATTAATTGGCTTTATTCACCTATCTCTTAGAAGAGCTTTCTCCTTTATATGCTAATGTTATTCCCGGCAAACCTGTCATTGCAACTTCATCTCAGACTTCTGTTTTTCAGGACTTTTTCTTAGTATTTTATACTTTCAAATTGACTTGCCAACCCCCAGGTTCCTTGAAGCCCCAGAAGAAGAAATTAAAGGAAGAAGAAACCAAAGGAAATCCCCACTTTGGATGAAGCCCCTATTAACTACATATCCTATTCTTATCTTTCTACCTCCCTCAAGAGCCAGAAAACCCAAAAGGGCCAATGGGTGTCCTCCAGGGTGCTATGAATTTTCCAGGCTGAAGAGAAAAAAACAAATGTGAGCTGCGTTCCCTAAAAAGTACCTGGTTTAGGAAATGAAAAGTCATCTAGCCTTGCTAGCAGCAAGGTGCCTTCTTACTAAACATCTTATCACAGAAGACAGCAGATGCCACAAACATCTGCCTATTTAAGTGGCATCATCACCTTGACTGTCTCCTAATTAAGGGCAGGATATGACAATGGTAATGTCTTAGAGCTTATACTTTAAAGAGCACTTTAATATACATTAGCTACTTTGACTGAGGAATCCTTGGGTGGAACAAACAACGTGGTTGGCTGATAAGTGGAAGTCCACCCAGAGGGACCTCAGAACAGAGGCCTGGTGATGGTGATCTACTTCCAAAAGAAAACAAAAAAGTCTGTCACTGAAAACCCGACGCAGCACAGTTCTGCTCTGACACATCAGAGTCACCATGACTCAGAGGGGAGTGGGCAGCAACTGCACACGGGGAGCTTGACTGCCCATCAATCACATCATCATGTGAGGCTCATCATCACTTCCATTGTACGAAGAAACATGACAAAGAAAGGTCAAGCTACTTGCTTAATTTTATACAAATCCAGGTTTTCCCCTCCACCCTGATTTCTAATCTATCCATGGTTACACTCTTGGTACTCTTCTTTAGTTAAATAGCAAAACTCAACTTGGGAGTTCTGTCCTTTATCATTTAATTCAACAAACAGTATTGCTATTTGTTAGGCCTGAGTTACATGGCCCTGTCCATCTGTTTCCTCTGTGCCTCACTATGCCCTCTCTGCAGTGACCTTTCTTACCCGGTTGCCTGAGTGTGCTTTTATTTGCTGAAGCCTATTACTACAAAGGCACAGCATATGACTGGAGACTTCTCAGGCCCCAAATCAGTGATATTTCTATCCTAATGACTTTGGTTTTCAGAAATTAGGGATGTTAATTTCAAGCTCTCGTTAGTTATATCCAAAAGACTTCAATTTTAGCTCAGTTCCCACGGCAGCAAGGTTTCACGGCAAGTGACGTGGAAGTCACTTTTAGCAGGTTATGGAATCTGACAGTTTTAAGTTTAATTTGGATTTTACCTCATATTAGCAAAATTACTTAAATTCTCAGAAGGGATTTGTGTGAAATAAAGAGATAATACAGTCATATGTGAAAAACATGGCCGGTACCTAGAACGTAGGACGAAAACAAAACCAAATTCACTGCCACTGAGTTGATTCTGACTCACAGTGGTCCCCATTGGGTTTCCAAGGCTGTAAATCTTTACAGAAGCAGATTGTCCCATTTTTCTTCCACAGAGTAGCTGGTGGGTTTGAACTACCAACCTTGTGGTTAACAGCCAATGACTTTACCCACTACACCACCAGAGCTCCTAGAACATAGTAAGTGCTCGATAATGTACCTAATGTTATTTCCAATGAGGATAAATTAAACCTTTCTTTCATATTCTCAGGCTAAGTATATTTTTTTTTACCATACAATCCTCAGAGTGAGAAGGTGATAATGAAGTGATGGAAAAGCAGTTAAAAAAATTAAAAATGGGGAGTAAAAAGTAATGAGTAATTTACCACACTGCTATATGCATAAAGCTATATACATAAACAAAATAAAAAAAACAGTAGCACTAAAAAACTCTCCGTAAAGTGTTCAGTTAAAGATGTCATAGCAGCCTGGTACCTGTGATGGTGTTTATATAGCCTGCTCTTTGGGATGGGGTCCCTGGGTGATACAAATGGTTAATACTTTTGGTTTCTAACTGAAAGGTTGGAGGTTCAAGTCTACCCAGAGGTACCTCAGAAGAAAGGCCTGATGATCTACTTCAGAAAAATCAGCCACAGAAAACTCTATGGAGCAAGATGGTCTTACTTCTAATCAAAGGATCCATTTAAGGGCAGTGAGCACTGCTGGGGTAGGGACATGGCACGAGGTGTGCTATGGAAGCAGGTGTTTAAATGTGGTAAATTTGGGCCAGAAGTGAGAGTTTTAACTATAACGGCTGCATAAGCATGTCAGCCCTGTCCTATGCGCACACAGGGCTAGAACAGCAGGAGGGAAAAGAGTACCACTTAAGCAGTTGTTGTTGCTGTTAGGTGCCGCCAAGTTGGCTCTGACTCATAGTGACCCTACTACAAGAGAACAAAACACTGCTTGGTCCTTGTGCCAGCCTCACAATCCTTGCTATATCTGAGCCAGCTTCACAATCCTTGCTATACCACTGTTGCAGCCACTGTGTCAATCCATCTCATTAAGAGCCTTCCCCTTTTTCCCTGACCCTCCACTTTACCAAGCATGATACCCTTCTCCAGGGAATGGTCTTTTCTGACAACGTGACCAAAGCAGTCATGGCCATTCTCGCTTCCAAGGAGCAATCAGGCTGTAATTCTTCCAGGACAGATTTGTTAGTTCTTCTGGCAGTCCATAGCACTTTCAATATTCTTCACCAATACCACAACTCAAAAGCATTGACTCTTCTTCTGTCTTCCTTATTCACTGTCCAGCTTTCATATGCATATGAGGTGACTGACACCATGTCTTGGGTTAGACACACCTTAGTCTTCAAAGAAACATCTTGGCTCTTCAGCACTTTAAAGAGGTCTTTTGCAGATCTGCCCAGCACAATATGTGCTGATTTCTTGACTGCTGCTTCCATGGGTGTTGGTCACTTAGGTAGATGCTCCTAAAAACCCTAAAATCTCTCCTGGTCTATTACATCCTGCCCCTAGGTCTCATTCCAACTGGTAAGCAAGACGGGTTAGAAGTCATATCGTAGAATGAAACAGAATCACATAAGAAAGGTTCTCCTGGAATCGGTCCCATCTAAAAGCACTTATATACCAGGCTCAGCAAGTGCCAAGCTTTATTTAACAAAGAGCGCTTTTTCAGCATGCATGCCTGAGTTATGGGAAGAGCTGTAGGCACAGTGGAAGGCAGCCCTGTACAGAAAATGGCATGGCAAGAACTTTTTCCCCTGCAAAAACAGCTAGGCTTAAGATATCTATGGCATGTGGGAGGCAGCAGTAGTGTCATGGTCATTTTCTAAATGTTTAACATTTTACACTTCTGTAGGAGTATCAAATGCTGCAAACTAAATTCCAATGCTATACTTTCAAGCTAGTCATTAGAATACTGAAAAGAGAGTTGGAGACCATAAAGGTTAATATCACTTTTATCCTGAAGTGTTTTCTTCCCCCTGCTCTTTCCCTAAACCAAGTTTCTAGATTTTCTACTTTTTCCTTTTGGCCATGAAACATGAACTAAGAATCAAACAGACCCTTGGAATAGCTGCTCAGCTGCAGAGAAGACTGTCAGAGTACCAGTGCTGAGTGGACCTGGGCGTTGGTCCCAAATATAAGACTTCTAGAAAATAACTTAATCTAAGAGATTTTTTTTTTTTAATTAATTAATTAATTATTTGGGTGAAGGTTTACAGAGCAAATTCACTTTCCATACAGCAGTTCACATATACTTTGTTGCATGTCATTGACCACAGTTTACCACAATGCAACAGCTCCCCTCCCACTTCCTCCCATAGTTACCTCTTCCCAGTGTCCATCCCTCCATACTCTCCTGCCCCCTGAGCTGTCTCCCTGTGCATAAGCAGCCCTTCCTTCTCCCATGATTGTTCTCTCTAGGGCGTGTGTCTACGTGAGGTAAATGTTTAACTCACATGCCTGTACATTGTTTGGCTGGCAACCACAGGTGTGGGTTCAATTCCAGACCTGAAGGGCAGCTAGGGGCCATAGTCTCAGTGGTCCCACCAGGCTCTATCGGACCAGCAAACCTGGTCCTCACCTTCCTAAGAGATTTTTTTAATAATGGCTTTTGTCACTGTAGCTTACCTGTCCTTTTACTCACAGGACAACTGTGAGGAAATTGCTCAAAGTGCCATACAAGGCCAAAGTCTAATGATGGTTTTAGCTAGGTTTGGTAATGCAGTAGGCCATTTCCTCTCCTAGTAATGCTGCTAATTACAAGGGTTTTGACTATACATCAACTCATCAGTTATTGACTATCTTATTATCCTACTTTTTGCATTTATGACAATAGTAAAAAATCTCCTAACCCATTATTTTGCACATTAATGATGTACATATGGCATTAACAAACACTGAGTTACAAAGCAAGAGTAATGCTGGCTATGATGGTTAAGGTATGAGTCAACTTTGCTGGGCCATGAGTCTCAGTGGTTTGGCAGTTTTGTAAAGATATAATTTGGCAGTTATGTGATGGTGAAATTTGGCAGTTATGTAAAGTTACAATAATCCTCCATTTCACATACCACCAATTTTTGCATAACAACATGGTCTTTGGAACCTAACCACGTCATTAAATAATGAGTGGGTATATTTCTGGGAAGAGTAGAACAAAGGGACCCTCATTCTTAGCTCACCTTCTTTTCATTGACATCTGCCTGCTCCTCTTCCTCATTCACCTCTTCTGGCATATCTTTGATTTTCTTTAGCAGTTCAGCCTTGGGGGCAGACATATTGTAGTAAGCAGGACAGTTGACCAGCATGCCCACTGTTTCCTTTTCTTCGCTCCTGGACCATAAAGAACAAAAAGTACAGTTACACATAGCACAGAACAAAAAGCTTCATTATACTGCTAATGTCCTTCTACTCAGAAATGTCTACGAAATTCTATTAAATTTCTTTCCTAGAAATTAAGATGACTTAACTAACGAGTATTTACTAATGAGTGATTACTATGTGTAGGGCCCGTGGAGCCAAGTAAACCTGGGATAGAAAATCACCAAAGGTAGTCTGAAAGAGCTCTAAAACTAAGGTACCTGGCATGATTAAATGACATAGGTTTTGAATCCAAATTTCCTTTGCCCTAGTTTCCTTTTTTCTTCTGCTTTCAAAGTATGTGTACTCCCCCCTTGGAATCATACTTACTTAAAACTATGATAGAAATGTTTTGTTCTCAGAATGCTTGTAATGTATGACAAAGTTACAGTTCTTGGTTAAACAAAGCAAGGATGTCTTAACGGAATGACAAAATTATTGCCTGAAAAAATGTCTGTATACAAATTTTACTTATACACAAATCTGTGATTGAAAACAACAGATTGACATTCTGAAAAGTTTACTTGCAACTTATATGTAACTCATGTATAACACCAACCCTCCTGACTCCTGTAAACCCCAATCTTCCTACATAAAATTTTCTCCTTTTTTTGGATCTTGGAGCACTTGGTATTTTAAGAATTGTTGTTCCAGTTTGGCTGTAGAAAATCCAACAATAAAACTATATAGTTTCTCTCCTTACTGGAGTTTTTTTTTTTTTTTAACTCTCTGACATAAATGGTGTCAGAAGTGTGGGATTTTGAAGATACATTAACTTTCATGACCCTGATAGGTCAAGGACCCAGGCACTGCTCTCCACTTCCACCATTTCTCAGAGTCATCTTACAGTAAGTAACCTCTTGAAATCGAGTCTTCACTTTCTTATGTCAAAGTTTTTTGAGTTTCATTGTTGTATTTGTTTTCCTCCTAGGAAAGACTAGAGTTAGAAGCTATTTAAAGGGTTTTTTTTACATTTTTTCCTTGTTTTGCACTCAGTGTTGTCAGTGCTAGGGATTTTATGAAGTAAAAAGTGCTCCAAGATAGCTTATGTTGAAGCAACCTTGAAGAAAGCTTAGAGGATCCTTCTAGTATGTACTGATAACTGTCTCTACCAATGATAACCAAGTAACAACAACACTGTACAAGGCAGCTAAATGAGCTCCTTCTCCAATTACTCTTAACTTCATAATGAATAAAGAAAGAAATTTCCTAAATGTGTTTATTAGTGACTCATATTTCTGTGAATTAATTGTAGAAAGATTTTTAAAGTATCTTTGATAAATAAGCTTGGGTCCCCCTGAACCACCCCCAATTTCTACTGGGATGCTATTTTAAAGTTCATATTCTGAACACTATAAGCTGAATATACTAGAAGTAATTTGGAATTTCAGTGATCACTTTGAGAAAATGAGTTTCCATCTGTTCTTTCCTTCTACCTATTTTGTCTCTAAGTTTCTGTCTGTTATCAGTTGAAAGCTATACCTAATGCCCCCCCCCCCATTGGGCTGTCTAAAAATTCAGTTCCTTTTTCTTCCAGAAAAAACTGTTCCTTACTCCTATCTTATGATTTGGGCTGTTAATAAGCTACTCTGACAAACTTTAATTTGAAAAATGCACTGAATAAGGATAAATCATTTATTATGGTATAAAAAGGCCCAAAAAGAGACAAATTGTTCTAAATTGTTTTTCTAAAAGAGCCTGTAATGCATGCAAAAGATAAAGTTATAAAAATATAATAACTTCCAACCTCTGGATGGTATTACTAAATTAGATTATATTTCTCCTGATTAGTCTAATAAATAAGCACTTTTATAAATTGAATAGTCCTAATATTCCTAAGAATTATGAAAATAAATTCACTATAAAATTTTCATGTTTTGTAATATGTCAACTTAAAAGCAGTTTATCTTTAAACAACTCAAGCTAAATTAAGTATATGAAATGTTTTATTAAAATAATTTTATCCTAAAATGAAAGATACTGATTATTCCAAGTTAAAAAGAGAAAAACATAGAACCAACATGGGAACAAGAAAAGAATTTAGATGGATATTGGAAGTCAGAATAAGTCATAGCCATAAATGGTGAGAGGAAAGTTAAATAGCTAAATTTATGCCACAGAGAAAAGATATATGTAAGTGTATTCAGGTCTAATAATATAAGTGTTCTTTTTGTTTGGAAGGATTATGACATGAGAAATACATAACAAACATGGAAAGTTTGTTAAAGATTTTTTTGTTTGATATGATTAATATTCTTGTTTTTTTTACAACTGAAGTTTGATGGGTTAATTCATGAAAAATTGTAAAAGCTCTAATGCCAATAGCAAAGAATTAGGTTTATTACTGCTAAGATAACAAAATTTTCTTTGGCTACTGGATTGACAATTTAATTTTATTCTTGTGCAATCTGTCTTGGAAACAGGGTTTTTACAGAATAAACTTCCTGAGTATGATAAAATCCTGAGAACTTTTGAAATCTCATAGAAAGCCACAAAAGATCTGTTTCTGTTTTATAAAAGGAAAAAAAAAAAAAAACAAACAAACCACTAATGTCACAATGCAAAATATGTATAAACTGTTGAATAGGAAACTGATTTGGTATGTAAGACTGTTACCCAAATAACAATAAAAAGTTGTTTAAAATAATACTAAAAAACATTGGTATGTTATGAATTACATGACACATTCTGTCAGATCAAGAAAAGTGCCAATTTTTTTAATGCACTTTATTGAAATATAATTTGCGTACAGTGAAAACCACAAAACTAAAGTGACATGGCTCAATGCTTTTTTTTTTTTTT